GCTACTCCCAGGTATCTTCAAAAGTCAGAGCTGGGATAGGTAAGAGGCTTGCTCCTGTCAAGGCTCAGCTAAAGCCAGCCACCCACCAGGAACACTATGGTACTACCAACCTAAGGCAATAATGGCCACCACCATGGGCACCAACCTCCACAGGGTGTTTGCACCTGTCATTGACCTTCTTGCACTGGCACCCAGGGCCCTGCCAAAGGCAGAAGGCACAGCAGCAGTCACAGGGTGAGGGCAAGAAGGGGGAGGCCAGGCAGGGAAGCAGCATGAAGAAGAGAACTCATTTAGGGAGGCCACAGGGGGTGGGACTAAGTTCAGGCTCCAAGCCCCCAGTGCCTATTCCATTCATTGTTCATTGAGACTTCACTTACAGAACACAAATTCAAAGATAGGATTACTAAGAATTTCAAGACTTCAGCTACAGTGCATTAACTCGCAAGTGCAGGGCCCTTCAGAGTGCAGGGTCTTGTTCAACTGCACTGGTCACACATCCATGAAGCCAGCCCTATTCCTCAGGCAAAAGAAAGGAGGATAGCCGAGACCGGTTTGGCTCAATGGATAGAGCGTCGGCTTGGGGACTGAAGGATCCTGGGTTCGATTCCGGTCAAGGGCATGTACCTTGGTTGCGGGCATATCCCCAGTAGGGGGTGTGCAAGAGGCAGCTGATCGATGACTGTCTCTCATCGATGTTTCTAGCTCTCTCTCTCCCTTCCTCTCTGTACAAAATCAATAAAATATATTTAAAAATAAAATAAAATAAAGGTACACTGAGGTTCAGCTTTAAAATAAAAGAAAGGAGGTACTAGTATTTGGCCCTGCCGCGTGTCTCAGCCAGCATGTCCCAGAGGTTGAGCATTAAGCCATGAATCAGGAGGCCACAGTTTGATTCCGGGTCAGGCCACATGCCTAGGTTGTAGGCTTGATCCTCAGTGTGGGCATGCAGGAGGCAGCTGATGGATGATTCTCATCATTGATGGTTCTCTCTCTCTCCTTCTCCCTTCTTCTCTGAAAAATTAATACACACACACACACACAGAGTGGCCAGATTATTATGATCTCTGAACGCATAATAATCTGGCCACTCAGTTTATAGCCTATATAAAAAGCAAATTGTCCCAATAGGAGTTCGACCAGCAGGCAGGCTGGCCAACTGCCCATGTCCCCTCCCCCTGGCCAAGCTGGCCCAATCCCACTCATGCACGAATTCATGCACTGGGCCTCTAATACACACACACACACACACACACACACACACACACACACACACACTAAGTGGCCATATTATTATGTGTTCAGAGATCATAATAATCTGGCCACTCAGTATATATATTTGCTCAAGTGTTCTTTGATATCTCTTCATCCCTAAAGCAAATCTAAGTATAGAAAGATCTCTTCATCCCTAAAGGAAATCTCAGCAAAGGGGGCTGAGGCAGCCTTCTCCACCTTTCCCTCTGCCAATGGGCTTCAGCCTTTCACTGTCCCCTCTCACTGTTGGGGTTTGCTGACACTTGACTGGTCTATAATCACATCTGAGCCAGGAAATGCTGGACCTGAAATTCATTGGAATGACACATGGATATCTAGTTCATTTCAGTGCTAAGTGCCAGATTTTCCTAAGGTACTCATCTACTCCCAGCCCCAGGGCTGCCACACAGGAAAGCAGCATGAGAGACTGTCCAGTTAGCTTGCTCCTGATGGAGGGCGGCAGAGTTGCGGTAGTTAGGGAGTGATGTGGCCCGCTGGGCAGCTGCCGCCTGTAGTAGATTAAGGAAGCCAATCCCTTATTTTATTCTTTTTAAAAATATATATATATATTATTGATTTTTATACAGAGAGGAAGGGAGAGAGATAGTTAGAAACATCAATGAGAGAGAGTCATCAATCAGCTGCCTCTTGCACACCCCCTACTGGGGATATGCCCAAAACCAAGATACATGCCCTTGACCGGAATCGAACCCGGGGCCCTTCAGTCCCCAAGCCGACGGTCTATCCATTTGGCCGAACCGGTCCCGGCTTATTTTATTTTTCTCTTTTTTTAAAATATATTTTTATTGATTTTAGAGAAGGGAGGAGAGATAGAAACATCAATGATGAGAATCATTGATCGGCTGCCTCCTGTACATCCCCCACTGGGGATTGAGCCTGCAATCCAGGCTGGTGCTCTTGATGGGAATCGAAACTGGGACTCTTCAGTCCACAGGCTGATGCTCTCTATCCACTGAGCCAAACCAGCCAGAGCTATTTTCTAACTTCTTTACTTTGTAGTGGCCTGGAGCTGTGTCTGGGATAGAGTGCTTCTCTTGGACTGAAAGGTTTGCCTTGAGCATTGTCTGGATTTTTTGGATATTGCAGTTATTCTCCTACCAAAATATACTCTTTTTGCTAAAATATACTCTTATTTCATCAAGTGCCTTTGGGGGACTTCAACTTTGGAGGGCTCCTTTCCGCATCCTGCACCTGCACCGTGAAACCTACACCAGCCTCACTAACTAGCAACTGTTAGCACCTCAGCTGGAGTCCTTGGGGAAATCCTGCCCCCTACTGAGGTCCCACTGCCAGGAAGGCAGGGAGGGGACCAACCAACAGCACCACTCTGCACTTTCCTCTGGTGCCAGGAGGAAGGCATTTTCTTTTGAGCTGAGGGACAATCAGGTCTACCAGCACAATCTCGCTCAGTCCTACCCTGTCCAGCCGGCAAAGGAGCTGTAAGAGACCCAGGGAAGTTGATAGCTTGGGTTTGGGTCTTGGGAAGCACAGTAGGGCTGGTGGGCCCACCCAGGAGCTCCCTATCGGCAGGACAGGGACTGGGAGGCTGCTGCTCCTCCCTGGGTCTTCCCAGATTCTGTTCTCCTGCTCTCCCCGAGGCCCCTTTCTGAGCCTTAGCAGGCCTCAGCTGGGAATTTTCAGCATGTTTAAATGTCTGTCAAGAATGAAGACTGTTCTGCGGGTGACTAAGACCTTTCTAATGTTATATATCTACAAACAGCTTTGAAGGGCAAGCCACCAGTGTCCTGCCCATCCTGGAAAAGTTTCCCATTTCAAATGACTAAGTCATGACCCTTTTTAACAAGACTTCAAAGAACCTGATCCAAGATAACATTTATCTATATATATATAAGCCTAGGCAAGCGATTGGCCGACCAGCCAACTGGCCAGTAGCTATGACGTGCACTGATCACCAGGGGGGCAGGAGCTAAACGCAGGAGCTGCTGAGGGACAGCAACTTTGCAGAGTGCCCTCTCTTGCCCTATGCACCCGGGGACCCCTTGGGGGATGTTGGACTGCTGGTTTCTGGAGGACCCCCCCCCCCCCCCCCCCCGCTCACTCCCCAGACGCCCTTCGAACCCTGGCACTAGCTGGGGAGGGATCACGGAAGGTTGCCTCCAGGGCGTGTCTGGCCTGTCTTGTCCAGTGCTGCTCCACTGCCCACGTTCTAACTAATTTACTTCCAATGTGCACAAGTCTGTGCAGGGGGCCTCTAATATTTAATAAAACAGCTTCACTTTTTTTCCTTATTTACTGTAAAGCTGGAAATGAAAACCAGCCACATGTCAGCTCTCTAGCAAACAAAGCATGGTGAACGACCGTGACCAAGTGATTGATTGTTGCAGGACAGCCCTCCACGCCCCCCCCCTTTTTTTTTAATCTTTAGCTGAATTTCTGACATTAGAGATGGTTTTTCAATTGCTCAGTTCATTAGGTAACGAGAAACCAAAGCTCATCTTGATAATCTTTGCCATAAATTATCATCTGAGAAGGCAGCAGATATGTTATGGTGAAATATACACTGGACTTGGGAGTCAGAAAGTCTGGGTTCTCAAGTCCTTGCCCTGCCCCTTCACAGCTATAGGCCTGGGTAAGACGCTTAACTTCTTTGGAACCACAGTTTCCTCCTGTACAAATATGGGATTGTAAATCCCATATATCTCACAAAACTGTTATGAGTACATAAAAATGAATAGAATAGCACTTATTCGGTGCTTGATCTACAATATACTCTCAATCGTGTGTTGGGTTATAATCTATTACATTTGTGGTATTTTCTGTAACAGTTCCCCCCACTCCCATACCCATTTAATAAAACAAATATAAAGGTAACATTTTAAAAATTGCTGTATTCAAAATAATAAACTTTAGGGTAAATAAGCTTTAAAACAAAAGTACATAAGCAAAAAAATAAATAATTTACACCAACCTACTAACCTTATTTTCAGAGTAAAGCCATTTCCAATTACAGCACTGTTATCTGGGCTCCAGATTGTGATCAAACTTTGATAGTGCATTATTTTTTTAAAAACAGTAACAAAAACATGAACACTAAGTAAAGTCTTTAACAAAAAACAAAGTACTGGATTTAGCTTTTTAATTTTAAAAAACTTTGTAATTTTATACATAATCCAATGTAGTGCTAATATAATTAGCATTTCAGCTTGAAGAGTTGGTAATTAACAGGAATGGAAGCCTTAATGAACAGTCTTCAAACCATGAGACACAAATAAAAACAGACAAATATACAGTAGAACAAAAGCTGCAGACACTCTACTAACCGGGGGAAATATCTGAAGGCTTTACATTCTTTATTATCCATGATGGCTTTTGGAATTATGATTGTGTGACATATAGAACCTTTGTCGTTTTAGATATAGCCTTTATTTGTTTTTGTTTTTTCACAGTAGGTTAAAAATCCACCCTAAGACTCTGTAAGACTTCACTGGTCTTACATAAAGACTCGAGGAGTCTGCAATGTGATAAAAAGATTAATGTGAAAATTTACTGGACTGCCCTAATTTCATCCTTCCTTGTACACAATGAATCAATTTGGAAATCTACCCCACAGGTTATATACACAAAAGTGTCAAGAATAAAATTCTCCACCCTTGCATAAAAACGTGTACAGTGTTGAGGAATGGAAAAGTCATCGTTTTCCTGGCCCCGGGCTCCCGGAGCTCTGCTGCCTGAAGATGAAAGGCTCCCTGGCTTTATTGCTCTCAGGATTAGTCGTCCAGCCCTGGTGTTTCTCCTTGTTGGATCCTGGATGCTATTCTGATGGCTTCTTCCAGAGATGGCTGTTCTCCAAGCTGAAACAGGAACATACACAAGCTCACAATCGAGATAATGCCAAAGGAATCTTACTTGTCAGAAGTGGGATTTCTGGCCCCTGGGCTTGTTAAGCAACCTCCACTGATTCTATCAGTAAGAGAAAATAAAAACAAAAACAAACCCAATTCCTACAGGGGAGAATAATAGGGTTTCTTTATTTAGGATTTTAATAAACTTTTGCACATGCAAAGGACAAAAGATAGTCATCTTTTCCAAGGGAGATAATTTAGAGAGCTTCCTGAGCCTTTAGCTTCCATGCCCATAAGCTAAATTAAAATTAATGGTTGGAATTTTCATCAATGTTTTTTTTTTTTAATCCTTAACTGAGGATATTTTTTCCATTGGTTTTTAGAGTTAAAGAGAGAGGGAAAGAGAGAGATATGTCGAGGTGAGAAAAATGCACTGATTGGGTCACCAACCAGGGCCCGGTCTGGGGAGGAGTCTGCAACCCAGGTACGTGCCCTAGATCGAGAATCGAGCTCAGTACCCTTCAGTCAGCAAGTTCGATGCTCTATCCACTGAACCAAACTAGCTAGGGCCTAATTAGATTTTTATTCTGATAGTTAAGATAGCTGGCTTGATGTATATGGGATACTTACTAGAAGCTTTATTTTTCTCACTAAAAATTCCCCTATAACAGTGGTCGGCCAATTCATTAGTTACCAGAGTGGCAAATCTTGAGAGCTGCAGTTTGCCGACCACTGCCTTAGACTATGCAAAGTTAGTAAAGAACAAAGTGCTGGTCTCTTTGAATCTACCGGAACATAGCAATTTCCTTAAAGTGAATAAGTGACACAGATTATTCTATGTCCCTCCTCCTGTAAAGGTTATGCATAAAGCACAGTGTACAGATCGAATGATGCTGTTGATGGAAGACAGTTGCCTCTGGACTCACCTGAACTGCAATCTGGGTACCATTGGATGTTGCCACTAAGGTCAGAGGTCTGGTTTCTGTGGTTACTAAGTGATGGCTGTGCTGCTGGTGCCCCAATTCTGATGATGCAGTGTGGAATGCTGCCAAGTCCTGAGCCACAATTGCAACCTTAACCAAAAAATACACAAAAGAATTAAAATTATAATTTTATATATATAAATTTATTTCAGAGAGGAAGGGCGAGAGAGATAGAAACATCAATGATGAGAGAGAATCATAGATTGACTGTTTCCTGCTCACCCCTTACTGGGGATTGAGCCTGCAACCTGGGCATATTCCCTTGACTGGAATGGAACTTGAGACCCTTCAGTCTGCAGGCCAGCACTCTATCCACTGAGCCAAACCAGCTGGGGCTAAAAAACTATGATTTCAAAACAACAAGAAAGCCCACTGTGTGGGAGAACATATTTGCAAATGTTACCACTGATAAAGGTTTAATCTCCAACATCTACAGACAGCTTATACAACTAAATAAAAGAAAGATGAATGATCCAATTAAAAAATGGGCAATGGACCTAAATAGAATATTTTCAAAAGAAGACAGAAGGAAGGCCAAAAGGCACATGAAAACATGCTCAAAGTCACTAATTATCCGAGAGGCAAATCAAAATAACAATGCAGTACCATCTCACACCTGTCAGAATCAGCAAACAACAAATCAACAAACGACAAGTGTTGGCGAGGTTGCGGAGAGAAAGGAACCCTTGTGCACTGCTGGTGGGAATGCAGACTGGTGCAACCACTGTGGAGAACAGTGTGGAGTTTCCTCAAAAAACTGAGAATGGAACTCCCATTTGACCCAGTAATCCCACTCATAGGAATATATCCCAAGAAGCTAGAAACACCAATCAGAAAGGATATATGCACCCCTATGACCACAGCAGCACAATCTACAATAGCTAGGATTTGGAAACAGCCTAGGTGCCCATCAGCAGATGATTGGATCAAAAAACCATGGTACATCTACACAATGGAATACTATGCTGCCATAAAAAAGAAGGAATTATTATTTGCAGCAACCTGGATGGAATTCAAGAACATCATGCTGAGCGAAATAAGCCAGTCAATGAAAGAGAAACAACATATGACCTCACTCATTTATTGATGATAAAGAACATAATAAACTGATTAACCAAAAGATAGATATAGAGACAGTAATGCAACAAGCAGACTGTCAAATTACAGCAGGGAGGGTAGGGAGATCTGGGGGAGATAATAGATCAACCGAAGGACTCGTATGCATGCATATAAATACAACCAATGGACACAAAACTCTGGGGAGGGCGGGGATGAATGGGAAGGGGGAGAATGTTAAAAATATGTACACAGATAATAATTTAATAAAAAAAAGGTAAAAACAAACAAACAAACAAAAAAACCCTATGATTTAAATAGGTTAAAATCCATTCAGTGAAAAGGATTGTCTTCAAATTCAAAAGGAAAAACTCCTTTCTGACCACAGAGCTGCAGAAGCCTGAATCTGAAGAGACCTTTCTTATATATTGTCTATTCTGGACTCCTCTTTTGAGGATGCTGAGGCTCAGAAGGAAGGGATTTATCCAAGATTATGGAGTGAGGCAGTGGTGAATCAGGGTAGAAGATATTGGAGAAGTGGATCCCTATCACAGACTCTATTACTCAGGGGAGACATGACTGTGCCTGGGTTCTATTACCCCTAAGTGGATGCTGGGAAAGTTACACAAGTGGAATAATTCAAATATCAAATGTCTATTTATTTCCACATTTGGAGCAATGGTCAATAATATACTATTTTCTCCTGTTTACCTGTTACATTTTATTTATTTTATTTTATTTTTATTTATTTTTTACCTGTTACATTTTAATTAGACTCCAGGAAAACTGAAAGGACCAGTAGCATTACTCACAAATAGCAACATATCTTGTTATACTCATTTTCTATTTTAGATGTCATGGAATCTTTCCATATTGTTGCTGAAGCATCTATCCAGAGTGGTTAAAAGTGCTTTCATGGCTCTTAAACCACAAATGTAGCTCTTTCTATGTAGCTAATATAGAAAATGGCATCAACTACTTCTGTTATATGATATTCTAAAATTTTGCTCAGCCAAACTCAGAGGAAGAATAGATTAAAAACTAAAATTTCTGTTTTTCTTGGCCACTAGTCCAGTAAAATGCTAAGGTGGATCAATCCCAGCAATGTTGCATAATCTAGTAACAGATTTTGGCCCAGTAAGGGCAGTGATTTATATTGGACTAACCCATCCTGCAAATAACTATCATAAACTGTGAACAAAAATAGGAAAAAGCAACTGTCGAAGGCACTGAAGAATGAGGAAAAGCAGGTAGAAACTGCAGGGGATTCTCAAAGAAAGGAAACCATGTTGGTTCACATCTCTGCTGGAATAGCTTTTCACTGAGACCATTACTCAGACTGAGCACCATAGGGCAACTTAACATATGAGATAATGAAGTCTAGGGCTACCAGAATGGCTATACATTGAGAGGAACATTCTAGAAAGGACAAAATCAGAAGGGGACCCCCTCCAAATCTGCGTATTAACTCTTCTCAATTCCTTAAGACCCCAGAACTGCCAGTGTATCGGAATGTTCCAATCATTCTGGTAGAAAGCAGTAGCTGGAAGTCTGAAAAAGCGGAGATTTCAGCAACACTCACCACATCAGAGACCACATTTAGTTTCAATCCTGCCACGTTAGAGGCGCTGGACTACAAATAATGCTAAAGCCTACCCTTCAGATAACCCACAGGTGGAGTCTGAACACCCCAAGTGGATCAGCAACATCTGCACAATGGCCACAGCTGCTCCTCCCACCCTTGTGATATCCCTAGTGACTGAAAACAGACTGATTCCAGTCCAGCCCTCAAAGCCTTGTCTTCTGAGAATTTTCCTCTCTCTCCAGAGAATTGTCCTAGCCCACAGGCTACAGATAAGCTCATAAGAATGTTTGCTTTAGGGTCACTATCTTTCCAGATCTGCAACTGTAATTACTACAAGGTATATTTACCCAAGCTGAGTTATAAACCCAACCAAGTATTTTAGAGCCATGGAAATGGCTGCAAACTGATTTAGGTGGACTATTCTATAAGACAGCCCGAAAATTGTGTTGTTTTGTGAGTGTGTTGGGTTTTTTTTTTTGCATAAGGTATAATTAGCAAACAATAAATAAATACCCATCTTAGTTGCTCTATTGCATTTTGACAGATACATCTGTGAAACCATCACCTAAACAAGATATAGTACAGTTCCTTCATATTCCATGCCATCAATGTCCTTCCCAAGCCAAGCAGAACTTTCTGATTTCTATTGCATAGATTTGTTTTGTCTGCTCTTAGATTTATCTGCCCTTAGATTACACACACACACACACACACACACACACACACACACACACACTGAATAACTTTTTCCCAGTTTGGCACTTTTTCTTAATGATATCTTTTGGTAAGCAGAATTAATTTTGATGAAGTCCAATTGATCAGCTTTCTCTTTTGTTAATAAATTCTGTATCCTAAGACATCTTTACTCTAAGGCTGCAAAATACTCAATTTTCCAGAAGCTTTAAGATTCTGAGTTTTGTATTTCAGGTTGTAGAAAAACTTCATTTTTGTTCTTTTTTCAATATTGTTTTGGCTTTTATAGATCCTCTGCATATTCAGGTAAATTTTAGAATTGAATTATCTATATCATCAAAAAAGGCTGCTGAAATTTTTATTATGATGGTATGAAATATATAAATGAATTTACGAAGATTGAGAGCAACTAATTTTGACTGACTCTCAGTGAAGGTAGATGCAGTGAAACTTAACATTGCCTTCAGCATTGTACAAGAACAGGTTTTTAAAAAAATATATTTTTATTGACTTTTTACAGAAAGGAAGGGAGAGAGATAGAGAGCTAGAAACGTTGATGAGAGAGAAACACCGACCAGCTGCTTCTTGCACACCCACTACCGGGGATGTGCCCGCAACCAACGTACAATGCCCCTGACTGGAATCGAACCTGGGACCTTTCAGTCTGCAGACCAACGCTCTACCACTAAGCCAAACCGGTTTCGGCCAAGAACAGTTGCTTAACTACTATATCACATGTAGATCTATTAACAATTTGGATATTGACATGTTTTGATATAAAAGAAGAAAAAAAAAAGCAATTACCTGCTGTCCTTCTGTACCCTCGGCAGTTACCATAGCAACAGAGTGTGTCCCTGCTGAGGAGATGACTGCATCGTGAGCAGGGACTGTGATGGGCGTGCCATCCTGTGTTACCATTGTGATGGTATTGCCAATGGCTTGCATGTCAGCTTGAGATATGTTGACCTGCAATACAATGCATTTTACAAATCAATCAATGTTTCATGTTATATTTGACAATCTTTATGAAGGACTAGGTCTAACTCTTCTATAAATCTACTCTGAGGAGAGCAAATAAGCATCTTCTATTTTAGAAGGAGGTCATCAGAAAATTGAGTATTTCTTAAATATATTTCCTCCTCTCCATCTCTACTGCCAATTTAGATCCTTACTTTTCTCTCATCTGACTTTCTACAAATAATTCTTTCCAGGTATCCAGTCTAACCCTTCCCTCATCACCCTCTACCTTGACATCTTTCTACAAAAACAAATTTCAATATGCTCTCTGCTTAAATGCCCAGTGGTTCCCCATCACTATAGTTCATTACATGGCATTTGTGACCTTTCATGATTGGCCTTTCACGGCCTCTCCAGACACTTCCAAACCAGCCTCCACCACAACTAACCATCTGCAGTCCCACAGTGTCACAGTCTATCATATCTTCATGACTTTGCTCTTTACTTCAATCTCTGCATTGCAAACTCATGAATATTTTTTATGATCCAACTGAATAGCCATTCTCTATAAGGGCTTCCAAAATTCCTTCAGGAAAAATCATTTACTTCTTCCTCCAGACTGCCACAGCACTCAACCATTTACCCATCTTTATGAGACTCTAGAGGCTTGGTACATGAAATTTGTACACTCGGGGGAAGTGGATCTAAGTCAACAGTTAGACATCCTTAGCCCTGCCGCAGAAGCAGAAGAGGCTCCTGTTACCACCACTGCGCTCACCAGCTGTGAGCCTGGCTTCTGGCTGAGCAGTACTCCCCCTGTGGGAGTGCACTGACCACCAGGGGGCAGTTCCTGCATTGACTGTCTACCCCCTTTGTGGTCAGTGCCTGTCATAGTGACCAGTTGATCCACCATTAGGTCGATTTGCATATTAACTTTTTATTATATAGGACTAGAAACCCAGTGCATGAAATTCATACACGGGGATGTGTGTCCCTCAACCCAGCCTGCACCCTCTTTGATCTGGGATCCCTTGAGGGATGTCTGACTGCCTTCTCACAATCCAGGGTTACTGGCTCCAAACTTCTTGCCTGCCTGCCTGCCTAATCATCCCCTAACCACACCCCTGCCAGCCTGATCAACGCCTAACTGTTTCCCTGCCAGCCTGGTTGCTCCTAACTGCTCTCCCCTGCTGGCCTGGTTGCCCCTAACTGTCCTCCCCTACAGGCCTCATCCCCTACAATTGCCCTCCCCTGCAAGCCTGGTCACCCTCAACTGCCCTCCCCTGCTGTCCCAGTCGCCCCCAACTGCCCTCCCCTGCCAGCCTGGTCGCCCCTAACTGCCTCCCCTGCAGGCCTGATCACCCCCAACTGCCCTCTCTTTCAGGCCTGATTGCCCACAATTGTTCTCCCTTGCCGGCCATCTTGTGTGCTGGAATGATGGTCAATTTGCATATTACCTCTTTATCAGATAGGGTTATTTTAGATACCTAAATCTCAAACAAAATTCTTATGTTAGTCAACATGTGTTTCACATGCATCCATTACTTTTCAAGCCCTTAATTTCACTGTGGTAATGACCTTCATCACCTTGCCCCTGAACTATACCAGTAACACCATGGGAGTTCTAGAGTAATAAACCTTCTTTCTACTAATCTCTCTGCATGTAGACTCTTTCAGCAGGCTACTGGAAAACCTTTAGGAAAGTTAGCACTGCCTACAAACTCAAATTCTGATATTCAAGGACTTCCTCAAGTGGGATGTAATCTGACTTTCAAGCCCAGGTTCCGAGAAATATTACTAAACTTGTTCAGCTTTTGGTGCATACTTACATGCTGAGTCCCATCCTGAGATATGAGTGTAACCTGTTGACTCAACCCAGACTGGGTTACCGTGGCTACTTGTGTAGACACAACGTCATCCCCTTCTACACCCGTGACGTATGTAATCTGGGGCCCTTTAAGAACATCTTCACCTTGACCTGTTTAAAACAAACAAATAATTTATTTGACCAATCAACCAAGATATAAAAAACAAAGGACATTTAAAATATTATAGAGAAACTTATACAAATTAAAGTAGATGTATTATAGTCTACATAATGAAAATAGTTTCCAGCACCTTCTTCCAATTCTTCTAACTCCATTTTTGCAAAGTAAAAGCAAATCAAAGCAGACTGAATCAAACCTTTCCACATCAAAGTTAAAGGTTCTAATTTTGGGAAACTTCTCTTATTCTCTTAGTTGGAGTGATTACTGATACTACACATGTATGTTGGAGCAGTGGGAGAACTATACAGAAAGACTTGACTGGCAAATAATCCTTCCACTATGGCAATTTCTTATAGTCACTTAAGCTGTTAAAAATGATAAGATAATCTCCATAAACATTAACCACAAATCTGTGTGTAAATGCAAACTACAAATACTAAATTGATTGCCAAGTCATCAGTACACAATGACATCATTGTTTAAAGACAATATAATCGGATGTTATCTGGTATAAGGTTAATCATTTAATAAGTGACAGAATAGGAACCACCATCCACTTTTTTATTTCAAAAAGAACCAACAAGTAAACAGAAATTTCAATAGTCCATTACTGCAATACTTAGCAATCAGGAAGGTTTCTGACCTTTCTCCTATCTTTTTCCACCTCTCATAAAGGCAGGAACAGGGTAAATATATATCTTTCTCTTTCAAAGGAGGACTTAATATGCTAATTTAAGAGTAGTTCTCAAAGTTAGTGGTTGATGCATTCACTCATATTGCTATAGTCATCCTGGCATAATCTCCATCGCAGTCATTACTTTGTTTTTTTGTTATCCTATTCCATAGCTATTTATATATCACTAGAGGCCCCAGTGCATGGACTCATGCACCGGTGGAGTCCCTCAGCCTGGCCTGTGGGGATCGGCTGCTACTGGCAGTCCTACATCCCACGAGGGATATAGCAGTGGGCACCTCTCCCGCTTACCCGGCCCGCTGCACCTGCCACCACCACCTCTTGGTAGGCTCACTGCATGCCTGTCCTAAGGTGATACAGCACATCCAAGACTGAGAAGCAGCTGCAGGTTCGAACCCAGTCAGTCCCAATGCTAATCCTGGTCTGGATAGGGAAGGAACACGCAGGGGGAGTGTTTGTGGGAGAGGCTCTTGCTGCTGCAGTGGCACTCACCAGCCATGAGCCTGGTGTCTGGTGCCTATTGGTCAGCTGAGCAGTGACTGTGGTAGTGCACTGATCACCAGGGGGCAGCTCCTGTATTGAGCACCTGCCCCCTGGTGGTCAGTGCGCATCGTAGCTACCAGTTGAATAGTCAAACAGTCACTTAAGCTTTTTTATATATAGATTATTCCAATAGGCTTTAAAACTTAGGGGTCATATGAGAGAAAAGGTGTACACAATTCATCTCTAGACTGGGAAAAACATTTTAGTTTAGTTTTTTAAAAACAGAAGGTGTATTATACTATAGACTATTTTCCTAAATACAAGAAATTCTGTATCTATATTTAAGGAAGAGATTGTGGAAGCTTAAAAAAAGTCCTAAAGTGTAAGTTTGACACCACGAAAGCCTGTTTTCTAACCGCAAGGATTCAGCATGTACCCTTACAGTGCTTTGGCAAGAAAACAATATATTCAAGACTGAGGGGTTTATTATTTTCTTACTATCATATGACAGATATCTGAAAAAACAAATTAGAGAATCATCTGAGCAGTAAGTAATCTGTTCTTTCCATTACTCTCCAACCAACATTTTCACCTAAATGGCTTTTTTTTTTTTTTTTTTGTAAAATATTTTTATTGATTTTAAAGAGGAAAGGAGAGGGAGAGAGAGAAACATCAATGATGAGAATCATTGATCGGCTGCCTCTGCACACCCCCCACTGGGGAATCGAACCCATAACCTGGGCATGTGCCCTTGGCAGGATCAAACCGGGGATCCTTCAGTCTGTAGGCTGATGGTCTATCCACTGAGCCAAACCAGGTAGGGCCACCTAAATGTTTTCAAGGCTTTATCAGTTGTTAATAATGGGAAAGAAAGGTTGTTTTTAAAAATATATATTTTATTGATTTTTTTACAGAGAGGAAGAGAGAGGGATACAGAGTTAGAAACATCGATGAGAGAGAATCATCGATCAGCTGCCTCTTGCACGCCCCCACAAGGGATGTGCCCGCAACCAAGGTACATGCCCTTGACTGGAATCGAACCTGGGACCTTTCAGTCCGCAGGCTGGCGCTCTTTCCACTGAGCCAAACGGGTTTCAGTGGGAAAGGTTTTTTTGTGTATTGTTGTTTTTTTAATTTTCAAATTTACCTCACTTAGGAGGTATTCAATGAAACATTAAGATAATCTCTAAGTTGTTTTTGTTTTAGAAAAATCTATTCATTTTTCCTATTTACCTAAGCTGAGTTATTTAACTGAAATCAGTGAATGTAGTTCTCCGAAGTATTTTTTCAATAGTTTATTCTAAATAAAATGAATATTGTTGTCTCCTACAACATTACTTAACAGCACATGAATCAATTGAGTTATTTGGGAGTGCTTCATTGCTCTTATGATTAAGATCAAACATCCTTAACACACTCCTAATCTAGCTGCCCCTGCCAGGCTCTCCAGCCTCATTTCATGCCACCTTCCCAGGCAGAAGTGCCACACTGGCCAGGCTTCTCTCAGTCTCCAATTTACTTTGCTCTCAAATGGTTTTTTTTTTCCATGTGCCAGTCCCTCTATTTGAAATGTTTCTTTTGGCCTTTGCTCCTTTCCCCCTCCAGCCCCCAATGCCTCTCCACCTAGCTCACACTCTAGATCTCTCCAAAAATCACTTCCTCAGAGAACTTTTCTCTGATGCCCAGACTGGAGGGAAGCTCCCTTCTTATACATTCTGAAGTACTTTCTTTGATAGCACTTATCACAATTGTAAATTGTATGGTGTGTGATTATTTAAATGAAGCTCTATCAGTTGAGAAAATACTATAAATCATAAATTATCGTTGATTCTCAAACACAGAGACACTCGACAGACTCCTCACCTGGGGGAGGCTCAAAGAAGGCCTCCTGCTCCTCCTCGATGGGCTCCGTGTCGTTGTGGGCGGTCCGCTTGTGCATGGCCAGCGTGGAGATTTGCTTGTATGTCTTCCCACAGTGGTTACAGTTGTAAGGTTTGGAGTGAGTGTGGACAACATGATGTTTATACAAACTGGAATATTCTGTAAACCTTTTGTCACACCCAGGGACTGTACAAACATATGGCTTTTCCCCTACGTAAAGAAGGGCCAAAAACAAAACAAAATAAGTAAACTTTTACACATGAAGGCATAATCATTCCATACCTTGTGAGGAGGGGGAGAAAAAGGGGCCTATAAAAAGAAGTAGTTTCAAAATCCCTTTCTATCCTGTCATGAGGCAGCTCACAAGAAAAGACTCCCTAACAATGCTTTTGATTTGATTAAAAAGGTAGTCTGCACCTTGAGTGTCATCCTGTGTCTAAATACCACTTTTCCCTTAATTTCTTTTTTTTTTTTAAAATATATTTTATTGATTTTGTACAGAGAGGAAGGGAGAAAGATAGAGAGTTAGAAACATCGATGAGAGAGAGTCATCGATCAGCTGCCTCTTGCACAACCCCTACTGGGGATGTGCCCGCAACCAAGGTACATGCCCTTGACCGGAATCAAACCTGGGACCCTTCAGTCCCCAAGCAGACGCTCTATCCATTGAGCCAAACCGGTCCCGGCCTTTCCCCTTAATTTTAAGGGATGAGAAAATTAAGGATGGAAATGTTGCCCAGTTCAACTCTAAAATTTTCGATAAAACTCTAACCTACCTATAACTAATCTAGATTAATTATATCACACTAATAATGACAATAAGTATAATTATTATAACTAATGCAGTTTACTGTAAGGATTTTATAAACATCATAGACCGGCTGTATCCTGCACTCCCCCTACTGGGGTTTGAGCCCACAACCCAGGCATGTGCCCTAATCAGGAATCGAACTATGACATCCTGGTTCACAGATTGATGCTCAAACACTGAACCACGCCGATGGGGCAAAAATGTTATATGTTAAAGTTATAAAAGGAATGCAAATTATATGATCAAAATATAATTTTTCTTCTAACCTACAGCCACCTTTTTAGGTCTCTTAGGGTTTTATAGGCAATTTTCCACTTTCTTAGAAAACACATTATCTTAAGCATGCAGGGAAAATAATAGCAATAACACATAACATACAATGCAAGTGTAAGATATAACTGTATCAGAAACATGACTCCAGTATACTGTTTGTTCTCTCATCAAGACTCACATGCAACTTACTGCTTTTTCCTTTCACAGAAAAAGCACTCACAAGGCGACTTATTATAGTGGTTTTTAATTTGGATCATTTTTATTTTTGAAATATATTTTATTGATTTTGTACAGAGAGAAAGGGAGAGAGATAGAGAGCTAGAAACATCGATGAGAGAGTCATCGATCAGCTGCCTCTTGCACACCCCTTACTGGGGATATGCCCGCAACCAAGGTACATGCCCTTGACCGGAATCGAACCCGGGACCCTTCAGTCCCAAGCCGACACTCTATCCATTGAGCCAAACCGGTTTCGGCTTGGATCATTTTGTGTAAAAATTTTGCAAATCATTACACCAAATATACAGATGGTAAGAGTTCAGGTGTTGAGGGATATCCAGAGACCTATATATTCCTAAGCGACACCACTACACTTCCTTTCTAACCTGCTTTTCCCCATTTTAGCATCATTCAACTTTATCACACAAGCTAGAATGACAGGTTCTTCTTTATTCCTCATAACTATTTGGTTACTAAGTCCTTTGCTGATACCTCTTTAACGTCTTTCATTTACATCTTCCTCTACCTCACTTCAAATATTCTAAATAACCCTGATCAGTCTCTTTGCTTATGGACTCATGTCCCTTTAATTTCTTTTTATATTATTGACTGAGTGATATCATTTTCTAAGAAAGCAAATTTTCTTTAGATTCTCTTAAAGCTTCCCCTCTGCCCATAGCAATATTCAAACTTGTTAATGACACTGTTCAAAGGAAAGGGATTGCTGTTGATCCCTGAAAATGTGTCCAGAAATACCCAGGGGTCTTGGAATGCAGCCTGTGAGACAATGACTTAAGCAACTGAAGCTCCTGCCTGTAAAAATGTCTTTTAATTTTGAGCTATCACAATTTACTCTTAATATCAACAATAAAAATATTTTAAAATTTCTTGTAAAAATAATGCACATTCTGCTTTACTCTCCCATTCCATTCACCTTTCCATTTCAACCCACCAAAATACATCCACAACATGGAGCATCAAAATTACAAACATTTGTGCTACAAATGGGCCAAACTGACTCCTGAGGAGGAAGAGATTTTAAACAAAAAATGATCAGAGAAAATTAAGAAACATGCTGAAAGGAAAAGAATGCCAAAACCAGCAGTCTTCCAGAGGAGCAGTTCCAGCAGGGGAAGCCTCCTGCATGCATCGCTCCAGACAGGCCAGTGTGGCCGAGCAGATGGTTATGTGCTAGAGGGCAAGGCCTGAAAAGGCAAATACATCCTCTTCCCTCCTATCTTAACTCATGTAATAAAGGTGTTTATTCTTTATTCAGATTTTTAAAGAGAGAGGAAGGGAAGAGAGAGAGATAGAAACATCAATGATGAAAGAGCACAATATAGATCAGCTGCCCCTACATGCCCCTCATCTCGGATGGAGCCAGAAACCCAGACAATTTGCCCTAACTGGGAACTGAACTGGTGACCTTTGGTGCACGGGATGGTGCCCAGCCAATTGAACCACACCGGCCAGGGAAAGATGTTTATTCTAAAAAGAAAAAGTTAGAAGACCAAAAATGCAGAGACTGTTACCTGTGTGTATCCTCACATGGTTTTTATAATTGGTTGCACTGGCAAATGCCCTTCCACATCCTGGTTCTGTGCAGTAATAAGGTCTTTCTCCTGTGTGTGTCCTAATATGCACTTTTCTGATATTTGATGTTGTAAAAGACCGTCCACAGCCTTCAAAATTACATTTAAAGGGTCTTTCTCCTGAAAATGCACAAGGGAATAAAGTAAATGGTACAAAAACACATAAAAATTATAATGTCTTATTCTTTAATTCTGCTTAGAGTCATGGACAAGATCTTAGAATTCTTGTATGTGAACTTCCCTTTCAAATTGTTTCTTTCCACCCCCACCCCCCAAAAACAGCATTTTCTACTTCAAACTTAAATTTACATAGGAAATATGAACCCATATGAGAATCTAACAAAGTTATGGGTCCTCATCCTGGAAAGAAGCTTACCTGTGAAAATAGCAAATGGCATGGAATTTCAATTCAAAAGAAACCTTGATGATGACTCCCTGAAACTCTTTCAGAGACTCCTTCCCCAAGTCCCCTCTCTGCTGGTAAGGACTACCTAGACCAGGGTCGCCAACTTTTCGGACCTCACAGACCACTGGCCTAGACAGATTTGTTCACACCAGTACTGTACCTGTATGAGTCCTGATATGTTTCTGTAGGTCTCCTGAAGTTTTAAAGGATTTAGTACAATTATCTTCTGAACATCGATATGGCTTTTCTCCTGTATGAGTTCTGACATGACTTTTTAATCCATAACCTTTAAGAAAAATTTAAAAGAAATTTAATTACACCAGACCCCTCTAATCATGACCGTTGAGATTAAGTTATTGAAAAATATAGTCAACACTAAGGCTATAATACTAGGCAAGCACAACAAAATAACTACTGAGCATGTACAAGTGGCCTGGCCAGCATGGCTCAGTGGTTGAGCGTGGACCTATGAACCAGGAGGTCACAGTTCAATTCCCAGTCAGGGCACATGCCTGGTTTGCAGGATTAGTCCCCAGTGTGGGGGTGTGCAGGAGACAGCTGATCAATGATTCTCTTTCATCGTTGATGTTTCTATCTCTCTCCCCCTCTCTCTCTCTTCCTCTCTAAAATCAATAAAAATAATTTTTAAAAAATGTACAAGTGTATGATAGCTCAGGATTGTCATGCTGGGAATTAAATAGTTTCATCTCTGTCTAGAAGAGGTTGTGTCTTTTTAAAAAGTGTTCCCATCTTTTTTATATTTTTATTATTTATTTATTTATTTATTTATTTATTTTTAATATATTTTATTGATTTTTTTTTACAGAGAGGGAGAGAGAGGGATAGAGAGTTAGAAACATCGATGGGAGACATTGTTCAGCTGCCTCTTGCATACCCCCTACTGGGGATATGCCCACAACCCAGGTACATGCCCTTGAATCGAACCCGGGACCTTTCAGTCCGTAAACAGACGTTCTACCACTGAGCCAAACTGGTCAGGGCAAAAGTATTCCCATCTTATTAGATGCTCATAACTCATAAGCCAAAAATTTGAAGTGGAATTGAGACATGGAATGAGGTACCCATCCTGTCCCAGTTCCCCAGGGTTTCCTAAGGTATGTCCTAATGTTAAATTTCATGTCAGTTTTTATTTTTTCTGCTAAAATAAAGCAGGGTGTGGAGTGAAACACCAAACAAAGTAGGCAGAAACAAAATAGGCCTGAGGAGAAAAATGGGAACAAAGAGAGAATAGAGCCAGTAGGACAAGAGGTAGCTAAGGGACAGATTGAAAAACTGGTCATTCTGTTTATGCTAATTCAGACAAAGGCAAGGGATCAGCTCCTGCCTCGGGTCTGCCTCTGCTTGACTCATAAGTGAAGCAAATTTATGTTTTTACCTGTTGCAAATGCTTTCCCACAGCCAGGATGCTCACACTGATAAGGCCGGTCTCCTGTGTGTGACCTCTCATGAACCTGTCATTAAAACACAAAATGACTCTATTTCCTTTGGGCATTTCTCAGGTAGATGGTCTCAACATAGACTTATTTTTTTCATTGCTGAATTATTTTGTTTTTTGCATGTTTAGAAAAACCACATGCACACAAAAAGATAATTTTTTTAATCTCAATATAAACCAAAATATTCTATGTTAAGAAGTACTCATTTTAAATAAGAAACAGGAAGAGTGGAGGTGTGAATTTTTCTAGAGTGCTCAAAGGTGTCTGTATGGAACATTGCACAGTGAGAGCCAGGAGCAGAGTGTAGGGAGAGGCTACCCAATGTAATGTTAAGATACAGAAGCTGGGCTTGCTGCCATCTGAGACAAGGCTTCACCACTGCCTAGGAGTGTGGGCAGGACACATGCCTATTCTAAGCCTTAAATACTCTCTGTAAAGTGGGGACATAAATAGTATCTACCACAGGGTACTGCTGTGACAAATGAGTGATCATGACAGTGGCCAACATTTATTGAATTTATACCACATTCCAGGCCATACTTTACATGTATAGTTTTATTTAACTCTCATAACTACCTTACGGGAATATATATTATTCAATTTTATAGACAAGGAAAATAAGGTACTAAGAGATCAGGTATCATGTTAAGGTTACACACTGTTAAGCAGTAACACTGAGCTCTGAGGCTGCAACTTCAAATATGCTAAATACACACTTCCTGCCACATTGTAAGTTATTCAGTAATTGTCAGGTATTATTTTTGAATCATGGTATATCATGTTTAGCTGCAATGAAAGTACTTGGCCTGTATATTTGGACAGACGGACAAGCTAACACCAACTTTTGCTAGATTTCAGCAAATCACTGTTAACAAAGTGATTATACACACTGCTCATATAATTTTATAAATTTCACATTTGACAAAAATGTATTCAAATATATAGAGTACTTATCATGTGCCAGAATGTAGACAGAGATGAAGTAAACATAGTCCAAGCCCTCAAAAAGTTGACATTTTCTAGAATCTGCATAGGCTTTTGTGTGTCTTTGTATGAGCGTGAGTGTGAGTGTGTATCTATACCTTGATAAGTTAGGGAAAACAATGGCATTTGAATGCTACAAATTTATCATGCTGGCATTTAATGTTCCAGGTATTCTCATAACAAGATCCAGCTTTTCTTCATATATACCTTAAGATGATGAGCTGTTGTATATAATTTTCCACATCCATCATATTCACATCGAAACGCCTTCTCTCCACTCTGTTGAGACTTAGCAGTTACTCTTGTTGCATGTCCTTGTAAGACAATCTAGATGAAACAAAAAGTATTATTTAAATTGTTTACACAGAGATAAAATAGACGAAATTACTATTTTCCAGACTTAAGTCATCACTGTACGAAGATTTTATCATTCTGAGCCAGTTAGGCTAATTCCATTCCATGGCTGAAGTTAGTGACTCTGGAAGCAGTGGAAAGGAGATCCATGAGGAGTAGCTAGAGCTCACAAATCTTCAGTAGTCCCCCCACAGGGATACATTACAAGACTCTCAGTGGATATCTGAAACCACAGATTGGATGGGACCCTATATGCACTATATCTACATACTTATGATAAAGTTTAATTTATAAAATAGGCAAAGAGATGAACAATAATTAATACAACATGTATAATATACTGTAATAAAGTTATGTGAATTTTGTCTCTCTCTAAATATCTTATTGTACTGTAATCATCCTTATGATGATGATGTTATGAGGTGATAAAGTACCTTATTAAGTTGAGAACTTACAACTTTCACTTAAAGGAAGTACTTTATGGCTTTTCTTTGTCATATCTAAATTGCCAGTATCACTGCTATTGTGCCATTATAAAGTGTCTGAAAATATGATTAAGTTCATATAGTTATTATGAACAAAAGTACTATAATACAATGACAGTCTATTTGATAATTGAGACAGCTTCTAAGTGACTAAGAGGTAGGTAGTTTATACAGCGAGGATACACTGGACTAAAAAATAATTCACATCTTAGGCAGGGCAGTGTGAGATTTCCTCATGCTACTCAGAATAACACACAATTTAAAACTTATGACTGTTCACATTTTCCATTTAATATTTCTAAACTGCAGTTGATTGTGGGTATCTGAAACCACTATTAAACGGGGGACTACTATGTTGCCCCTCTAGGTAAAAAACCCCAAGTATCATCTTCATTGTATACAGGTATTCTTTAACATACTCAAGGGATATATCTATATTTATATATATTTTAGGAGGTGGGGAAAGAAAGAGAAATATCAATGTGAGAGAGACATATCAATTAGTTGTCTCCTGTACACACTCCAACCAAGCCAGGGATTGAACCTGCAACTGAAGTACATACCCTTGACCAGGAACCTAACCCACAATCCTTTAGTCTACTGGCCTACACTCTAACCACCGAGAAAACTGGCCTGGCCAGGGCAAGTTTCCTATTTTTGCTTTAATCCTTAAAAGGGCATAATAATGCTGAGAAAGAAATTCTTATACAAAAAAAAGTAGCTTTACATACCTGCATTTTTTTCTCTTGCTCACTTTCTCCAATCATTCCAGCACCTGTTATACTTTCACTTCCATCAATGGACACCTATAGGGATAAAATAAAGCTTAAAAAAGTTATACATTCTGATAATTATTTAGACAGGTGATAAATACATGAAGGTTCATTATTGCTTATTTCTGTGTGTGAAAATTTTCATAATAAAAACTGGGAAAGTAACCTTCTAAACTATATGAAAAATATATATTCAATAAAGGGGGGAAAAAGCCCTTTTGATGTAAAACTTAATTGAGACTTTCCTTCACCATTCCAATCTCTGATTTCTACTTCTTAATTCTTAAGTTCTGCTTATACTGTATTATTTCTCCATGGCATTCACTCATCCTCAAATATAACTTTTATGAGTTACCCGACACCCACTTATTTTCTATAAGCTCTTATCCCATCTCTTATTTTTCTTCCAATATTTCTTTCTACATACTTCCTTTAAGTTGCTGATCTCCTTGATGCTGTCTGATTCTGACTCTAAATTGCCAGTTTCTTATCAGATACAGTATACTTTTTTGTTTTCTTTTAATGAAAAATAAAGAAGGTTGTTCTTGACATTGTAAAATCATGTACCTTTGCTGCATACTGTTCCAAAGCACTGATGGTTTCAGGATCAATCGTGGCATCCCCCGTGTGCAGACCTGCCACTGTACCATCAGCCTGAATTGCTAGGATGGTATCGGACTGTGGGACTTGCACTGCATGGTGGATGTAAGCTGTGGTGCCATCTTCCAGCTGAACTGCCTGTAATGCGCTCTGGTCATAACTATCTGAGGGAATGGAAGAGAATGGCATTAAATTAAAGGTAGTCTGATGAACAGTTACATATTTCAAAGAAAGGAATGAAGTTTTACTTTCCCCCCTTAAATAACCACACAAAGCTATACACAGCATTATGAAATAGTATATCTGTCCAACTAAAATGAACCCATGATTAACACTCACTGCTAAATAAAAAATACATTTTTAAGATAATTTTAAAAAATTTAATTTTTAGAGAGGGAGGAAGGGAAAGAGAAATGAGATAGATAAATAAGAGAGAAACATCAGTTTGTTGTTCTAACCATTCATGTATTCATTGGTTGATTCTTGTATGTACCCTGACCAGAGATTGAACCAAAAACCTTGACTTTTTGGGATGATGCTCTAACCAACTTGAGCTACTCAGCCAGAGCTAAAGAAAAATTTCAGAGCTTATTTTTCCAATATTTAATTAAACAAATTTACTACAAATTTAAGTACTTTAAAATTTAAAAAATTTCCCTAAATGAAACAATATATAGAAAGAAACAAAAATAATTTTTAAAATTTTCGGTCTTTGGTTTCACAACTAGTCTTTCTAAGACATGTTGCATTATTCTATAAGAAAATATTTTTTAAAGTAATAACAATAGCTAGCATTTATTAAGCATTTACTATGTGAAAGTATTGTTTGAAGTGCTTTACATGTCTGCACATTCTTTCATCACAACAACCTTATGATGTGAACCCTGATTATAATCCTCATTTTATAGGTGATGAAACTGAAGCACAGGGAGTTTAAGTAATTTGCTCAAAGTCACACTGCTAAAGAGTAGCTGACCAAGATTTGAACCCAGATATCTTGCTACAGAGCTGTGCTCTTTACACCTATGAATTCCACCTCACACCCCTCGCTGGTCCTCCCCACATGAAGTTAATAAACATTAGTATTTTGCTCTATTTGCTTCAGATATTTTCATTTAGTTTTTATTTAGTTTTAACACAATAGGCAAAGAAGTTCTATTTAAGAGAGAAAAAAGGCCAACAATTTAACTTCAAAACGTTTAAGAAAAAAAAATTATATATACATACACACACACACACACACACACACACACACACACGTTTCCCCGAAAGTAAGACATCCTCCGAAAATAAGACCTAGCGTATGGAAAAATAAGACATCCCCTGAAAATAAGATCTAGCACATCTTTGGGAGCAAAAATTAATATAAGACACTGTCTTATTTTCGGGGAAAAGGTGTGTGTATATGTGTGTGTGTATAAAATCTTCACCCAAAGATATTTTTTCCATTGCTTTTTAGAGAGAGTGGGAAGAATGGAAGGGGAAGGAGAGAGAGAGAGAAATATCCACATGAAAGAGTCATATCAATTGCTTGCCTCCCACACACACCCCAACCAGGGTGGAGATCAAACCTGCAACAGAGGTATGTGCCCTTGACTGGGAATCGAAACCATGACCCTTCAGTGCTTGGGCCAATGCTCTAACCACTGCAAAAGACCAGCCAGGGCTAATTTCATATTTTAAAAATAGCTTCTATTTGAAGTCCTTCAGGGAACAGGGACTTGTTATCAGGAATTATTACAGGACAGCTTGAATTATCAGAAAGTTTTTCCTTAGATTGTGCCAAAATCTGCCATCTTATATTTGAGAACAAGTATAATTCCTCTTTTATAGGACACTACTTCAGCAACTAAAAGTAGGTCTTACTTTTCCCACGTCTCCATTTCTTCCTTACTTTATTCACAAAACTATTTTACCTTTGGAGGTATGGTGAATGAAGGCTGTAGTTCCATCTTCTAACTGCACGGCTTGACCATCCTCTAGACGTAAACTGTCCCCTGCTCGAGAACAATGCTTACATTTAGATCCCATGTTTTCTGATCATTCGACAAAAGAGTAAAACAAATCACTGAACACGTTATAAAAACTACCCTTGCTCTCTGGGACCTTGAACATTTAAGTAATTTCAGTAAAGCTACTCTGAATAAGTGTTTAATGGTAAAAAGATATTAAGATATTCCTACTTATATTAGGAATATGTACCAGGGGATAAGAAGAGTTGAGAGAAGAAAAAGAAGGAAGGGGGGGAAAGTCAGAGACATGTAGGACTTAGCTAAAATAATAGAAATATTAGGACTGTTGTACACTTATCTCAGAGTACAGTCCAGTAAGTTCTTTTCTATTATTTTGCAAGGAAGTCTCAATTAAGTTAAATTATCTTTATAAGCTCTATGTGACATCTACTGATCTTCCCTTTCAGAGGACTAGAGACAGGACTGAGTTTAAGTAGTAAGAGGAACTTGAGGTAGCAAACACTGAAGTATGAAAAGCAGGAAGGTAAGAAGTATCAAATACTTACTACTTTTAGGTAGGGGTACATGTTGAACATAGGCAGCAGAACCGTCTTCCAACTGAATGACCTGCCCATCTATGAGCTTTCCATCTGAAACAAATAAACATTTAAGCCAATAAATTAGCACAAACAAAATTTTTAAATTTTATACAATTTCAAAATGATTATCAACTATAAAAACATACACTACTTAAGATCATGTTCATCTTGATTCTTCCCTCAATGTTCTGAGGCAATTCAATAACACATCCAGTGATCCTACAGAAAGCAGAAAATCCTCCCTCAGCCATCCTTCCTCCCCTCCAATTTTCAATTAGACAAGTTCAAGAGGAAGAGTGGCTCATTTTAGCAGGCTACATGAGTATAACCTCTATATGCCTTTCAGAGCCACCTAGGAACAGGACTAGGGGGAAGCGGAAGCTGGGAAACAGACAATATGTCAGTATATGTGAGGCCAGCTGTCACTCTCATCCCTGAATATATTTCTTAAAAATATTAAATAATAATTTGAACTAAAAAAGCAAGAAAGGTCTTACTAGAATTAGGTTGAGGACACTCCTTCCTCCCTCACTAATTTTGATACTCCACAGTATTTTCTGACTATCTTAAAGGGTGCCCCCAAATTATTAAAACAATATTTAAGTTAAACTGAGCCCAGTCAGTATGGCTGTTAGTTGAGTGACCTCCCATGCACAAAAAAGGTCACTGGTTTGATTTGAGGTTGGGGCATATGCTCAGGTTGCGAGCTCAGTCCCCAGTGGAGGACATGCAGGAGGAAGCCAATCAATCAATCAATCTCTTGCGCTCTTTCTCTCAATCCATAAAAACATATTCATTTAAAAAAATAAGTTAAACTGAAACTGTTGGAAATTACCATATACAATATAGCATCTTTAGGAGGGATTAGGAAGGGGTATAGTTACTAAGTTAAGATAACATATAGTTGCTAAGTGCTCAACTCTGAAGTTATTATACATTGCTGACATTAACCAATGGGTTATATATGAGGCACATACCTTTAGAATTGTGTTGTATATAAGCGGTAGAACCATCTGCAAGTGTTACTGCTTGCAAGCTTACACCTTCCATATTTTCTAAATTGTCAGCATCTATCATAAAAAGATAGTTATTTTCTTTAGATAATATCATATGTACATGCTATTAAGTTATTTTTTAAATGAAAATTAGACAAAAGGCAGACTGCTTAATTTAGACTCAATTGGGACTTTTTCTAGTACTTACAAAAAACGTTTCCCTGCCCTGCCATACCCAGCATCCACATCAAGATAAAAATGCCATCCAAAGGCTTAGCTTTGGGTTGTCTTTAGATAAACAAGAAGAGGGAAGTAAATCATGTTGTGATTTTTCATTTTCTCTTAAGACAAATGATATTTCCAAGCCCACATGATCCCTTCAACAAGACTGCTCACCTGCCACAGTTACTGCCTCTGTCAGGCACAGGGTAACATGCTGAGCCTCCATTCCTCCTCCAGGAAACTCCGTAATTCCCTGAGAATCTCGATTGATTTGAGCTAACAACATTTTTTACCTTGAAGAAAAATATAAACACTTGAGAACAAAGAACAATGCATAGGAAATAAACGCTAAAAAGAACATTTATGAATCTTTAAAAAAATGCTAAGAAGTAAACAATATTTTAAATAAACTGAAATTTCACTGAATATGCAGGGTAAGAGTAAGAACCCAAAGTCCAAGGCATGCTTTTCATAATTGAACACACTGACAAGTCTTGCCTATCAGTTTTGTACCATATCTAAAATTCCCATAATTGAAAGTTCTTTGAACTTAATATGATTAAAGATTCCCACTTATAACCCATTAGCAATCTTATTGACTCAGTCTTCAGAAATCTATCCTGAATCTGCTCACAATTTTCACCATTACTTCCTTGATCTAAGCCGCCACCACGTTACTGCAAAAGCATCCTATCTCCTTGCTTCTGCAGTAACCTCCCCACAGCCTCCTCTCAATACAGAAGGCTCAAAACCTGATGACTTCTCAAAGTAAAGCCAAAGTCCTTATTCTAGCCTATAAGAAAAATGATCTTGCCCTTCATTTCCTGCATTCCTTCTATTTCAGCCACTCTGGTGCCCTTGAGATAAACAGCTTTGGGTTGTCTTTAGATAAACAAAGAAAACATACTTGTTCTGCTGCCTCAGGACATTTACATTTGATGTTCCGTCTGCCTGAAACATTCTTTCCAGTATTTTCATTATTATTCCCTCATCTTCAAGTTTTTGTTCAATGCTACTTCAATGAGAGCTTTCTTGTTCATTTCATTTCAAACTGCACCTCCTACCCCTAACTGTGACATCCCTATCCCTCTACCCTCCTTCATATTTCTGCATAGTATTGTTGACATATTACATGCATTTACTTATTTGTTTTGTTTCTTGTCTATTTCCCCCTCAACTAGAACAGATAGGAATTTTTATCTGTTTGATTACTGCTGTCTCAAGTACCTAATAAACAGTTGGCACTTAGGAGATACACAATAGGTGCAGGATAAATAGATGAATGAATGGCTCTTGCACCAATCACTACCACAACCCCCTTCCTTCCTTCTCCTAACTCTAGGTCCCTTTACCTATGTGGACTCTAAGTGGTTTCAAACAGGAGTTGGGATAATTTAGCTGCCCTGGGCCAGGGAACTGGACAAGAGTATCTCCAGAGGATTTAAGGATCTGATTTTCAATGCCAATATTGAAAAGCACAATATAGCCTGGCTGATGTAACTCAGTGGTTCAGCATTGAACTGTGAACCTGCCCTCTCCAGTTGTTTCTTCTACCTTAAGCCCTTCCTTTGTTTCACTGTCCTCAGCTTTAATAAATGTATTCTCAAAATAAAAAAATAAAAAATAAATGTTTAAGTTTTTATAACATAATCATTTGTCCTTTTCATTCAATTATTTACAAATCTCCAAATAACTCTAATATAATATATAGCATCAATAGGTAGCTCACATATCTGAAATAAAAGTTCTCTCTTGTCTGAAAGCTAATCAACTATTAAATTTTTTTCAGAAAGGCTTTAGTACCTATAGTTTCAATCCTAATGGAAAAAAATCTATACCAAAAGATGAAAAAAACTATTTCCTGGACACAAATTACTGGCAAATACAAACTTCTATTAAATACACATCTGTTCTTATCATTTGTTCTTATCATTCTGCAATAATTCTTTGAAGCCCCCTTTGTGCGTGATCTCATTCCTAGCTGAGGATATCTTATATACCTCAATTCCCCTTCCTATCTCTGAACCATTATCATGTGGGGGTCTCTGACTCTTCATGTTTGGGTGTATGTATTAAATTTGGTTATTTTTCTCTTGTTAACCTTTATCATGTCTGTTTGATTATTCAACCAGCCCAAAGAACTTTTGAAGATAGAAGAAAGTTTGTGATTTCCCCATTATTGGGAATTCATGGTTTTTAAAAATACATATAAATATCTACATTTAAAAATTCAAGTGGTTACCTCCCAGAAATGGGACCAATAGACTGAGAGTGGAGTGGGGAAGGGACTCAATTTTTACTGTGTATCTTCTGTAAGTTAAGCATTAATAGAGAAAGCAGCACCTAGCTTTGCCACAAGGATACAAAGACTAGGACATATATGTTTGGGCATAAGAAGATAAATAAGCATTTCGTAGGGGTAGAAGAGTTTAAAGGACAGTCCAAACACAGGGAACAGCCTTTAACTGTCATCGGCCCCTCACTGCCTGATCCAGTCTGCCCATTAGACTATATCCTTCTAAATACGTACTGTGTCCTCTGGGTCTCTGAAAATTTTTAAAAAATATTTTGATCTTTTTATAGAGAGAAAAGAAGGGCCATAGAAAATTTGAAACGATGAGAGAGACACCTCCATCAGCTGCCTCCTGAACACCCTTTAAGGGGATGTGCCTCCAACCAAGGTCATGCCCTTGACCAGAATCAAACCTGGGATCCTTTAGTCCACAGGCCTACGCTCTATCCACTGAGCCAAACAGATTAGGGCGGGGTCTCTGGAATTTTTACTCCTAAGATTATATGTTCAATAAATATCTGAGTTTAACGTATCTCATGTTGCAGAGTGCTTTAAAGTTGTCCTCTATTATATACACACAGCCATGCTGACCTAGTTTCTAGTAATACACCTAATTTTTCCTGCTTTTGCACATATTGTTCAGTGTTAACTCGTATCTGAAGTATCCATTCTACCACCACCTCCTTATTCTCTATCACACAACTCTATCTCCTTCATAGGAGAATTTCATTTATCAGAATTTCTAACTGAACTCTAAGTTCCATGGTGCCAAGACCCCTATCTGTCCTATTCACTCCTGAATTCTTGGAAGGGCTGGCACATGGTACATGCTTACTAAATATTTGTTGAATAAATGAATACAATTTGTATGACATTATGGCTAGTTAACAGATGGATTAAAAATTAGGCCTTCTTTTATCCCAATATTGTTTTCACTGCATCTCACTTTTCACAATATGCTACTGTACTATGTAGCATGTATAAAGTGTCATTCATTTTAATGATTCCAATTTCTTGTGACCATTACTCCATATTTTATAAATCTCTGTTTACAATATTAGGCCACATGCTTTCATTATTATTTAATTTAGAAACGTGTACAAATAGCACATTAACATAAATGCTATGGCATATTAAGTATAGTACTCAATATACCGTTTCATTCTAGGAACTACAGATTGTATTTTAAAAGTTAAAGAGGTGGGTACCTGGTAGGCAGGTTGACAGACTGACTTTCTTCAAGTCCCAGCTTTGCTGTGTAACAGTTGGACAAGTTACTCTAACTTCAGTTGACTCACTTGCAAAATAGGGATAACTCCAGTACTTAAGTTGAAGGTAATATGTTTATGTACATATGTAAACCATTCAATTCAGTGCCTAGTCAAAGTTAAGTACTGAGTAAAGTGGTATTTTAAGTGCAACAAACATAGTTTGGAGTTAAATGCCCATGTCTACACATTAACAGACAAATTATTGCCACAGGGTGCAGAGTTCCCATTACAGCACAATTTTAAAATGGGATTAGATTCATGGAGAAATATGGATAAAAGTTTATTGTTTTCAAAATTTTCTTTTCTATGAGGGAGATTTCTAGGTCTAAATCCATCTTAAAAACAAAATAATTTTGATTAACAGTATAAGAAAGTTTATGTTTTTAATTTTTTTAAAAATTTTGATTTGAGAGAAATACATTGATTTGTTGTCCCATTTATTAATGCATTTAATCGTTGCTTCTTGTATGTGCCTTTCTTGTATGATTAGGGATTGAACCCACTACCTTAACGTATGGGGAAAAATCTCTAACCAACTGAGCTACCCAGGCAGGACCAAAATAAAGTTTAAAATACTGTCTCACAAATTAAGAATAGAAAGGAGCAATGTCACATGTAACCCAAATCTTAAAAAAATCTCTGTCCTGAAATAAAGGAGCAAAAAGATTCAGAACTAGGTGAAACCTCAGGTTAAAACAAAAAAGCAAACATTATATTAAAAATGTCAAAAGTGAGTAATGATGAAAACCTCAGGACTTAGAAAATTCTCCTCACACCGAAACCGGTTTGGCTCAGTGGATAGTGTCGGCCTGGGGACTGAAAGGTCCCGGGTTCGATTCCAGTCAAGGGCATGTACCTTGGTTGTGGGCACATCCCCAGAAAGGGGTGTGCAAGAGGCAGCTTATCGATGCTTCTCTCTCATCGATGTTTCTAACTCTCTATCCCTCTCTCTTCCTCTCTGTAAAAAAATCAATAAAATATATTAAAAAAAAATTCTCCTCATGTGATCATAAACTGCACGTACATTATAAATACACAGTTGAAGTAATAGTAGAGGTACAATTCCCCAAGCCAGGTAGGTCATCTTTCCATGAGGAACACAATGAATCCTTACTTCACAGCAATACCTCCACTTGCAGTCAAAGGCTGTGAACATTTTGCAGATCATGTATCTGATAAGGGACTTCTATATAAAAACCTCTTACAACTCAGTAATAGACAATCTGATTTAAAAAAAAAAAAAGGGGGGGGGAAGTAGCAAAATTAACATGTCTCTAAAGAAGATATACAAATGGCCAATAAACACATGAAAAAAATGCTCAATACCATTAGCCATTGGAAAATGCAAATCAAAATCCCTAAGACATACCACTTCATTCCCACTAAAATGGCTACTTATCAAAAAGACTGATAATAACAAGTGTTGGCAAGGATTTGAAGAAATGGGAACTCTCATACTTTAAAAAACAATTTGACAGTTTCTCAAAAAGTTAAATTATACTAGTAGTAACCAACTATGACCAAGAAATTACATATATATAATCGCCAAGAAAAATGAAAACATGTCCACACAACAACTTATATACAATGTTCATAGCAACACTGAGAGAGAAATAGTGGAAACGATCTGTATGGCCATTGACAGATGATGGGTAAATAGAACATATTATGCCCATACATGAAAGAAATGGCAATAGAAAGAAACGAAGCATCGATAATGCT